TTTGGAGGAAACGCAACAAGGCATTAGGTTATCATTACTGCAAGGGAAAAAAGCAAAATACAAGGATCACGATTTACCGAAAAGAAAAGAAAAAAACCAAACAGCAGTTTGCCACTGTAAAATTTAATAACTTCCTGTTCCATGAGGCAGCCCCCACAAACTACATGAATTAAAGATATATGAAGTGGGCCGGCCCCATGGCTTATCGGTTAAGTGCACGTACTCCGCTGCTGGCGGCCCGGGTTAGATCCCGGGCGCGCACCGACGCACCGCTTCTCCCCATGCTGAGGTTGCGTCCCACGTACAGCAACTAGAAGGATGTGCAGCTATGACATACAACTATCTACTGGGGCTTTGGGAGAAAAAAGTAAATAAATAAAATTATAAAAAAAGATACATGAAGTGGATGCCTATAATTCCCAAGAGGTCCCCAGAACTGGTCAAACATCATTGTCTCCATTAATCATTACCGAGAAGAAATTCAAATAACCCAGAACATCTACTGTTGACTAAGGACATGATTAGGCAATAATGAATGAATAACCTTAGGAAAAAAGAAGGTAGACAAGATGGGGAGGGCAACTGTCCAACAGCTTATAGGCCAAGAAAGAGCAGAGAATCATGTGCTCCGGAGCTCTGAGAGGTATGCTCAACCCTTTTTTCAAACCAAACCCTACACAGAAGGCCAATACATAAAGCAAGTACAGTGGAGCGTCCATAGTTAAAATGGTAGTGGGGGCTGGGGACTCAAGAACTCAGCTCCTCCGGTGCACTTAGGAATTCCGAGCTCAGCTGAGTTTGCAGGCTGTGGACAGCCTTTGCAGGCTTAGGACACTCGCTTTGAAACAGACAGCTTCCATTTTCCTCTGCATGTGTAAAGTGACAGCAACTCTAGGACAGTCTCTTAGGCCTGTATGTCCAAAGGGAAACTGGTCCTAGATTAGCCACTGTTCCTGGACCTGCCCAGGGCTTTCCAGCTGCTGAGCCAGGGCTCCCTCTACTCTTTCACACCTTGTTTCCAATAGTGCAGCAGCTTCCTGAAAATGTCCTGACCTTCCAAAAAGCATGTGGTTTCTGTGTCTTCAACTCACTCCATTTCCAACACTCTAGCTCTAACTCTGTATTATGGAGCAGTGCATACTCGAATCAGCTGCACTTGACTGTAAGGTCCCTGAGAGCAGACCTGGAGCCTCACCCACACTCATCAGTGAGGGTGCTTTAGCTGCCCCCTTCCTAGGAACCAGATTAGACCACTGTGTATGTAGGGACGCGCACTCATGCATGTCCCATGACAGCTGGTGCTCAGGGGCTGTTTGTTTACAAAGCAATTCTAGGGTTTCTGTCTCTAAGCTTCCACCCACATACCTCCTCATCTGAAGATACAAATTCAGAGATAGGCACTTCTGATGATGAGTAGCAAGGGTGTTTGCCAGAATATAATCATCAATAGCCTTTTTTGGGTTGCAAATCCCTTTGAAAATCAGATGAAGGCTTCAGACTCTCTCTCCAAGACAATCACATATAAAAAATGTTGCCTATGCCATTCCTGAGCAACCACAGGCCCCTAAAGTTCACCCATGGACCCAGAATTCAGGTTAAGAATCCCTATTCTAGAAGAGTCTTTTTATGAGAGACATTCTCTTTGTGGGTAATGTTTTTAGTAAGCACCCTGAGTGCTTATTAAAGAGATCTTCCCCTTTCTTTGGCTTCCTTCCTTTTTTTCTCTTCCTAGTCTGTCTTTTACCTAACTCCAGTGGGTTCAAGTTCTTGACTTTTCCATTTCTCAGCTCTTCATTTCCCTGAGCTCCCAGAATACTGAGTGTCAGAGCGACAATCATAAACCTTAGAAAGTGATTTTACTGTTTCCCATCTCCCCAGGGTGACTGCCAACTCCTAGTGAACAAGGACTATGCTAGGTTTACTGTTGTTCTTGCACACCCCTCAGTGCCAATACTCTGCACACTACAGAGGCAATACATACTTGCCAAACGGGCAGAGAGCACTTCTTCTTTGCCCTTCTACCTTTAGGTATTTGCACTTGAATGTGTGGACTTCTTTAAAATCTGGGCATATGCCCTGGAAAAACCACTTGCAAAGGCAAGAAAGCATAACCTACAGCAGCTAGTCACTCCACTTTGTTCCTTTTGGGTCCACCAGTATGACTTTTTGCAAACACAAAAAGTCTTACAAAGCAGGATAAACATGACATTAAGCACAGACACAGGGCCAGCCCTGTGGCTTGGTGGTTAAGTGCGCGCGCTGCAATGCTGGTGGCCCGGGTTCGGATCCCGGGTGCGCATCGAGGCACTACTTCTCCGTCCATCCTGAGGCCGAGTCCCACATACAGCAACTAGAAGGATGTGCAGCTATGACATACAACTATCTACTGGGGCTTTGGGGGGAAAAAATTAAATAAATAAAATCTAAAAAAAATCTAAAAAAAATATATATATATATTTTGGGGCCGGCCCAGTGGCGCAAGCGGTTGGGTGCGCGTGTTCCGCTGCGGCTGCCCCCGGTTCGCAGGTTCGGATCCCAGGCCAGGACCTAAACACCCACTCATTAAGCCATAGCTGTGGCGGTGTCCCACACACAAAATGGAAGAAGATTGGCGCAGATGTTAGCTCATGGACCATCTTCCTCAAGCAAAAAGAGGAAGACTGGCAATAGATATTAGTGCAGGGCCAATCTTCCTCACAAAAAAAAAAAAAAGGAAAGAAAAGAAAAGAAAAAAAGGGAAAATCTTGGTATAAGCAGTCATATTAACTGTTCCAATTACAGATTTCTCTCTCTCTCATTGCTGGCAAGAATTAATTGGTAATGGCACTGCTTCTCAGCAGTGCAAAAACATCCTAAGAAATTATTCAGATTACAACAAAAGACAGAGCTTTCATCCTGTTTTTGCACAAATAAACCTAACAATATAATAAATTGAGTTACACAGCAGATAACCTTCACTATGTTGAACACAAAAGATGTGACCCAAACCTCTTAATTCTCCCATTGATTACTATCAGAAAAAACAATTGCATTAAATACCTATTTATAACTTTTTAGTTAACTATGGCCAATAATATATAAGGAGGTAATATATAGTTCAAGTTTTTCATCTCTTTTCTCTCCAAGGAGTGACAAGCTGAATTCTAAATGTTACACTGAAATAATTCCAATTTTCAAAAATATCTTCCTCTTGGAGGAGTGATATTCCAGTTTTTGGTGCAATCCTGATACAGAACCCAACTGTCCTGAATCCCTTCAGTTTTTAAAAGGAAACCAAAAAATCAAGGTAGCCTGAAGGCCCCAGCTGTCCAGTTTTGCTTTTCAACAGACTCCATGAGGAGTGAGCTAAAGGCAATGAATGAATACTTTATTTTCTGTAACTCATTTTCTCGATGGCATTTGTAGAGTAGCTCATACTCCCGACTCTGGTGACTCCCAGCATTTCACCCTACTGGCCCAAGCAAAGGAAAAAAGCAAACCAAGTAAGAATGGGGGACTCACCAATTTCCCTCTTTACATCCCCAGTTAGATGAGGGCACTCAATGAGTGTGTGTTTCCAAAGCCCTTTGAACCCCTACACCCTCACCAGTGTTGGCTTAGGTACTGCATCTGAAAATTTTTTCCAATTTCACCAAGTAAACTTGTAAATGCCCATTTGAACCGTGAGCTCCTAGTGACCTTGTGATGTTTCCTCTTGTGATGTTTCTTGAAAAAAACTAATGAATAAAGTACAGATTTACTAATGTATATTCCTTATCCCTCTCCTCACAAGAGAAAAATTATAATTTTTAATATGGGAGTTAAAATTTTAATCCAAACATACTGGTTAACACCATACTAGAAATTCCAATACACAAAACCACTAAGCTCCTGTTTCCTTCTACTTAGCAGGACAGTTTAGGGGGAAGGGGAAGACAGTTTAAGTAACATAATCCATTTCCAATCCCTGCAACTGTTTAGGAAAGAGCGTGGGATCTGGAGGCAGACGACCAAGTTCAGGACCATCTTCTTGGGATGCAGGTCAAGTCACTTAACCCGAGTCTCATCATTAACCCCATTTTACAAGTGGGGAAACCATCAACTCAAGAGAATTCTGCAAGGGGCCGAGAGGGAGAGGGCTTCCTCAACTGCAGAGCACTCTTCCACGTTCACTATTTTCAATCACGCTCCGCCTTGTCTGGTTCACAGGCCCTGAAGGTAACACGATGAGGACGAACAGCCACAGGCCACAGCAGCTGGTTCATCAGAACAGTGTAAACGGGAGGACACAGGCCTCGTGCCGACTGCGCTCGGCGGTCCCGGCGCCCTTTCGGGGCAGTCAGTACACCTAGGGCGCCGCGCTTAGGAGGTGACAGGCACACTCTCCGCCCAGACCAATCGGCTGCCCCTGGCGTTGAGCCCTCCCACTCTGCGCTCCGCACCACGGCGGCCGCGGGTCCCTCGTGAAGTCACGACAGTGACTCAAAGGCCCTTCCGACGGAGGTGAGTCAAGAGGTAGAAGGGCAGAGCCGGGGCCCACGCCCACAGCCCGCCACGCCGGGCCCCGACCTCCCCCGCTGCGCAGGGCCGGGCCCTCGCGGCCCCCGGCAGACGGACGTGCCGGCCGGGCGGTCGGAGGCTGCACCCCTCCACCCGCCCCGCGCGCCGGGAATGCCCAGTGCACACGCGGCGACCCCGGGGTCACCTCGCCCAGCGCACTCGTGACGCGGGCAGCGGGGCGCCCAACGGGGACCAGCGCGAACTGGCGGCTCGCGCCTCCCCAGGCCTCTGAAACGTGGTCTAGGCAGCGGGGTCCCCCAAACCAGGCTCCCTCCCCGGCCACGCTTCCGGCCGCCCCCCGCCCGCCGCCCGCCGCCCACCGGGTCTCCCTCGGGCCGCGCCGGGGCCGCAGCGGGCCGCGGCCGGCCGAGCCCAGTTCCCCAGGGCCCGGGCCGGTCAGGCCCGCCGAGGAGCCCGCCGCGGAGCCCGCCGCATGGTCCGGCAGGGCGCGGGCCACTCACCGGTCGCGAGTGCGCTCGGCCGTCCTTCAGCGCCCCCGTCCGCGCGTCCGTCAGCTTCTCCCTCATACGCCGCGGCCGCCGCAGCCGAGCGGGCTGGCGCGAGGGCGACCCGACGCGCGCACGCATCGGGGGCGGGGCCTGCGGAGGACACGCCCCTGCGGCGGCGCGCGGCACCTCTCCCGGCTCCCAGGTCCGCCGAGTAGGTTGGGGTGCTTGGGGGTAAGTGCTAGCGTCCGTAAGAGCGGTGTTTATGAGGACCCCCTCGGGCTACGTGCTTTTCTCACCCAATGTCGCCACCTTTCAGGCTCATCTCGCGCTGGGCTCCACCTGCCCTTTCCGTTCCGCCACACTGGCTTCCCGTCACGTCCTTACCTATCCCACTGGCTACAGATTAAATGACCGGTCATGTCTGGTGTTGACAAAGGTATGGGAAATACGCAGTGTTTGTGGGAATTATGGGGAAGGGGGGACAATTTAGCAAGATCTGTTAAAATTTAGAATGGGCATGTTCTTTAACCAAACAGTTCCACTTCTGGGTAGCTCTTCTAGAGGAACACTTGCAAGAACCCAAAGAGGCGCAAAAGAGGGAGGTCATTGCAACACATAACAGGATATTCCCTTTCGATGAAAACCTGGAAACATCTAAATGTCCATCAAAAGAGGCTGGGGTGGGGGTGGACAGGGGCACATCCACTCAATAGAGTTGTGCCACAGTTGAAAAAGAAGGCCAGGGCCGGCTCCGTGGCTTAGCGGTTAAGTGCGTGCGCTCTGATGCTTGCGGCCCGGGTTCGGATCCCGGGCGCGCCCCGGGCTACCGCTTCTCTGTCCAACGCGAGGCCGAGTCCCGCATGCAGCAACTAGAAGGATGTGAATCTATGACATACAGCTATCTACTGGGGCTTTGGGGGGAAAAAAATGAATAAATAAAATCTTTAATCCTGAGGGAGGACAATAAGTAGAAAGGGGGGAAAGCAAGTTGTAGAAAAATACAAAAATACATTCAAAAGAATGTAAATTTAACTAAAATAACAAATGTTGAACTCTTAGTAATGTGTATGCTGAAGTGTTTAAGGGTGAAGGGTACTAATGTCTGCAACTTACTTGAAATGCATCAAAAAATAAGATGAGGGCCAGCCCTGTGGCTTAGCGGTTAAATGCGTGCTCTCGGCTGCTGGTGGCCCGGGTTCTGATCCCGCGCTTGCCACCGACACACTGCTTCTCTGGCCATGCTGAGGCAGCGTCCCACATACAGCAACTAGAAGGATGTGCAGCTATGACATACAACTATCTACTGGGGCTTTGGAGGGGAAAAATAAATAAATAAAATCTTAAAAAAAAAAAAAGATGATAAATAAATAGATATCTGATACAGCAAACATAGCAAAATATTAAGAATCAAAGAATCTAGGTGGTAAGTATATGAGCATCCACTTATACAGTTCTTTCAACTTTTCTGTATGTTTATAAATTTTTCTCAACAAATTATTCATAATCAATCTATAAATCAAAATTGGGGTGAGTTTATTATGAGCCAACCCTAAGGAACACATAGCCCAGGAGAGTACCTTCACGAGGGAAGGAGGCAAGCACTCCAAAGAAGTGGGATGTACAGAGTGGTTATATACCGTCTTGGAACAAAGAGCGTACATCACAGGAATGTCTCTTTTACAATAGTCGTGAGATTGCTGGCACAGCAGGTCAGTGGTCACAAGGTGAACATAGCCGGTTGGTAACTAATCCTTAGTTTCTAGGAAGACATGCTTATCCTTAAGGAAATGCTGATATGGGGGGAAGCTACATCCCTGTCTTTAAGAGCATCATTCTTGTCTTTGGGACATAGTAAATGTTTAAAGCAGATGAAAAATGCCTGCTCAACAGGCCATGTCAGGCCTTTTGGAAACACAAGATCAAGCCAAATTAGTTTTAAACCAAATAGCTTCCTCATATGCTCCAATATATTCTGTTGCTTGTCATTTATTCATCATTTTCATAGAAAAATTTTGGGGAAAAATAAATTCAGTATGATTCCTTTTATTTTTTTAACTACATGATATTATCTTTCTATACATTCATGTTTAGGTATGTAAATACGTCCAAAAGCTGAGAAGGTTTACATACTAGAATGACAGAGGGAGGTCAAGGGTCACTTGTGCTTTATCTGTACTGTTTAAATTTTTTATGAGAATGTATAAATGCATTATGCATTACTTGGCTATCAAAATCAAATAAAAAATAATGAATTTTAAGAAAAGGGTAATGGGAAGTAGACACTGTACTGCCTCCTGCCCCAAACACACACACATAATTGAATTAAACTGAGGGCACTGATTGAAGGAGGGGTTGCTGTGAGAGTTCAAATGAGATAACGTGGGGCTTAACCTGTGCCTGACACATAGAAGAAGCCCAGAAAAGGATTCCCACTGTTATCATTAGCACATGTCACTAGGCTGAGTGAACTGGTGAGTGCTTTGCAGGAAGTCCTTTGTCAGATATAAAGTCTCACAGAAAGTGCTGAGTCATGGCTGAGCACACACCAATCAGTAGCCAAATCTCTCCCCTCAGGCCTCAGGGGACCGCCAGGTTGTGGGCTGAATAGGGCTAAAAGAGACAAGAGCTTTGCCCAGGCTGCCAAGCTGCCAGCCCACTTCCTGACAGCCCCCTGGCACCAGCACCACTGGCCGGAAGCCCAGGGGCAGAGATGCTGTTCCCTGCCATGCATTGCCTGTACTGATTTCCAAGCTGCAGGTTCAGCAAAGGCAAAAGGCACTGGAGTTGCTCAGGTCCCAATGTGGCCCTGGGATGGTACTCTCAAACCTGGGCACCAGGACTGGCTTCATGGGCTTGTGACCCTAGCAGTCCCATGGGTCCCACACTCAGAAGGACCCTGCACTTGGTTTAATGCTCTGCTTTTGCTGTCTTGAAATTCTTGATAATTTTTAACAAGGAGCCCTGCATTTTCATTTTGAACTGGGCGTTGCAAATTATGCAGCTGGTTCTGCTGTGTGCCTTCTTGTTTGGAATTATTTCCTTAAAGTGGAGACCTTGGAACATCCTGTTTTGTGGTTTGTCCCTACACAATTTGTTGACACAAAATAACCAGTAACCATTCTATATGTAAGAGAGATAAGGTGAGTTTTACTTGAGCCAGGGTGAGGATTATAACCCAGGAAGGCCTTTTCCAGAAAGGAAGAAACCATTCCAGAGAAGCATGGTTTTCAGCACAGTCTTATACCTTTTTAGAACAAAGAACATACATTAAACACGACCAGGATACATATTCACCAAAGTTTCAAAGAGCTCTTCAGTTGCAAATTAGCAGGTCCACATGACCCCAGATGTCAGGAAAGGGACTAATAGGGGCTAGGGCATAGGAGGGGAAGTATGCACTCTTATCTTTTTTTTTTCTGAGGAAGATTTGCCCTGAGCTAACATCTGTGCCAATGTTCCGATATTTTGTATGTGAGCCACTGCCACAGCATGGCCACCATAAATGGTATAGATCCCTGCCCGGGGAACTGAACCCAGGCCACCAAAGTGGAGCACACCAAACTTAACCACTAGGCCACCTGGGCTGGCCTTATACACTCTTATCTCGAGAGTGCCTTCTTTACTTTAATGGTTGAAGGAGATGTACAATGGATGTTTGATAGGCCACGTAAGTCAGGCTTCTTTAGTTGAAGCTGAATCAGTGCTTGAACCTGAATAATTACCCCATATACCTCAATATGTGAAAATCTCTTGTGAAATTGAAGAAAAATCTCGTCTTTTATCACAGTAATATGCACTTGGGTTCCATTTAGTAGGTATTTATTGAGTTCCTACTAAGTGCCAGACATTGTGCCAGGAGGGAGAGGTAACAGAGACAAAACCAGGGCCAGCTCTCAGTATGCCCTCGGTCTAATATGGTAAAGACAATTTTGCTACTGGGATAGAGATGGGAATGGAATAGGAGTAATTAGCCTAGCCTAGGCGTCAGGGAGGGCTTCCTGGAGGAGGTGATGTTTATGTGGAGTCTTAAGGAATGAGTAGGAGTTAGCCCTATGTAAGGTGGTGAGAGGAAGGTATTCCAGGCACTTTACAGTCTGAGCACAGAGGTATAACACAACAGGGTGTGGAGGAGACTACAAGAGATTTACGCAAGAGAAACACGTAGATATCTTCATTTATAAATATAAACCCAAGTAAACATAAATGTGTATTAAAATAAATACATGCATCTTATAATAAATAAAGACCGATATTTTACATAAATAAAACACATTACCTTGGGGGTTATCTCCACCACCAGATTCGGGAAAATAGCACCAGTTTTAGTCTGATTTCCCTGTGACTCCAGTGCCTAATAGATGTTTACACAACCAGTCAATCAGCAAATGTTTATGGAGCGCCTACTTTGTTCCAGGGACTATTTTAGGTGCTGGAAATTCAGCAGTGAACACAGACAAGTCCCTGATGTCACAAAGCTGACATTTTTGGATGGGTCAATACACATTTTGGAATGAATGAATGAATGAAAAAATGAATGCTCTTATCCAGTCAGCAGTAAGTTTTCAGAAGAAGAGTGACATGGTCATTTTTGAGTTTTAGTTAAACACAAGGAAATCTCACTTTTCTGTTAAAAAGAATGCAAATCCGTGCAAGTAGGAGCGATCTCAAACGTGAGTCAGGCACACAAAAACTCAGGGCCTTAGAGGGTTAAGACTCGCAGATACAGATTTAATTATCTTTAGGTGACACCCCACATCTGAAGTTCAGATGTTCATACAACACAAAGAGGTAAATTTTTTTTTTTGCTTCGCGCAGTCTATCACCCCCAGCGTCCCGGTAAGCAGCCTCTGCACGTGCATTTCGGTCAGTCCCGAGGATTTATGCAAATTCGGTTTACGCACGCTGGGGGCAGGGGAGCCCTGAACGTTCGCCGAACGCCGCGGGAGCAGGGACGAACCACCTGCACCCGCGGAGGGGGGACGGCGGGTCAGCTCCGCGTGGAGTAAGGCCCTGTCGGGGGGAGTTGAGAAGCAGGGCGGCCTGTCCCTTCACGCGGGGAGGCCGGGAAGAGGTGGCTTTGCCAGGGTGGGGCTGGAGCTGCGGGCGGGGGTCGGCGCG